TCCCCTGCTCCAAGATGCTGGCAGAGTGCTTTTCTTTGATGTCCCTGGGTTAATGCAACGTCCCTCTACTGCCTTGTAACTCCTGATGTGGGCACTGTCAATGGCATATGGGAATAGAGAAACCCTCTCTCCCCTGCTCCAAAATGCACAGTGCTGTACTTTGATGTCCCTGGGTTAATGCAAAGTCTCTCTACTGCCTTGTAACTCCTGATGTGGGCACTGTCAATGGCAAGTAGATGTCTCTAATGTTTTGGAAGACAGAAATAATACTGTGCTGTAAGACTCTAAACAAAATAGTTAAAGGTAATGCACATTGTTGAATTTAAGTGTTTGCCCAAGAACTTGCTGTTCTGACCTGAGGCAGAGGCATTGTTTGGGGAATTTTTTTCCTTCCTTACTCAGAGAGCACAAAACCTGAGCAGGCAAAGCATGTAACAAGATTCAGAAAGGTATCTCAGATCAATTATGGATAGATAATAAACTGCCAGTCATTAGTGCAATGTATGCCTCAGTGGTTTAATATGCCTCATAAGAACTTGCTGTTCTGACCTGAGACAGAGGCATTGTTTGGGGAATTATTTTTTCTTCCTTACTCAGAGAGCACAAAACCTGCACATGCAAAGCATGTAACAAGATTCAGAAAGGTATCTCAGATCAATTATGGATAGATAATAAACTGCCAGTCATTAGTGCAATGTATGCCTCAGTGGTTTAATATGCCTCATTAACCTGAACAGTGAGCAGTGGTTCCAGGCACAGAGTATGACAAGAACTTTTGCAGTTAGTGTGCTTATACAGTTTTCTTTTAAGGAGGCCATTAACCAAATTTCAGTTTCTAAAAGAAAAAAGTCTTTGGGTATGATAAGCATTTAGCTTGTTATCAAGAAATAGGAACAAGATTCACTGCTAGACTTTGAAGTGTTTTCTGCCCTCCTTTCTGCCACTCCAAATTCTCCTTATTGTTTATTTTCTGTTTGAGTGCTAGGAGGAGATAGTGATGAATTGTTCCACAGCTCTTAGATATTGCCAGAAGTCGTTAATGAGACTGAAGCATTTATGATCATACAGGAAGCATGTATGTATGGAGCTAAGAGAAATAATCAGTTGGCTTTGAGAATGAGTATTTGCTTTAGAGATTGCTATTGTTTCTAAACAGTTTCAATATGCAGTGCAGAAAGTTTTTTTAATGTAAAATGTATCTATTAGGAGATAACACAAGAGAGCCTTTTAAACCATTTTAAATGTTGCTGCCTTAGAATTACAGTATCCATAGGTATATATGCCAATGTGTAGTTAACAGTCAGAGGAAAGCTACAGTAGAGCTCAAAATTCACTGCAAAAGCTTTTGAGTGCCATCACTGTGTCTGGGAGGTGGCTGGGTCTTTTTTTACTCCCATGGCTTGTGGCTAGTGTAGTCCCATTGACTTTTCTTAGAAAGGAAATTCAGTGAACCACTCTAAGCCCATCAGAGGGATTCATCTTCAGCTCACCAAGGGGAGAAGAAGTCTTTACATAGAACCCCAGAATATTCTTAGATGGAAGGGACACACAAGGATAGTTGAGTCCAACTCCTGGCCTTGCACATAATCACACCATGTTCCTGAGAGTGTTGTTCAAAAGCTTCTTGAACTCTGTCAGGCTTGGTGATGTGACCACTGCACTGGGAAGCCTGTTCCAGTGCCCAACCACCCTTTGGGTGAAGAACGTTTTCCTGATACCCAACCTAAACGTCCCCTGACACAACTTCATGCCATTTCCTTGGGTCCTGTCACCAGTCACCACAGAGAAGAGATCGGTGCCTGCCCCTCCACTCCCCCTCACAAGGAAACTCAGCCACAATGAGGTCTCTCCTCAGTCTTCTCAGGCTGAACAGACCAAGTGGCTTAAGCTGCTTCTCATAAGGCTTTCCCTTCAGACCCCTCCTTTGGACTCTCTCTAATGGCTTCATGCCTTTTTTATACTGTGGCACCCCAAACTGCCCCCAGCACTGGAGGTGAGGCCGCCCCAGTGCAGAGCAGAGCAGGACAATCCCCTCCCTTGCCCAGCTGGCCATGCTGTGCCTGGTGCCCCCCAGGACAGGGTCGCCCTCCTGGCTGCCAGGGCACTGCTGACTCACCCTCAGCTTTCCATCGAGCAGGACCCCCAGGGCCCTTTGCACACCGCTGCTCTCCAGCCCCTCATTCCCCAGGCTGTCCATGCACCCAGGGTTGCTCCATCCCAGATGCAGAATCTGGCACTTTCCCTTATTGAATGTCCTACAAGTGGGGATTGCCCAACTGTCTGATTTGTTGGGGTCTCTCTGCAGGATCTCCTTTACCATCATTTGCTTTTTGTAGTTTCACCACAGGTCCTCATCTTGCTCTTTTCTGGTTTTATTCTGACTCTCCTCGTTGCTGATGGAACCATTGTTAGACAAGGCATTGCTAAGTCAAGTCACAGGCTGTTGCTGGGCACAGAGTGTTTCATGCTGTCCCCAAAGCTCCATCTCCCTGACCCTCCTTGTCAGAAAGCACTGTATTTGTAAAAATGCCCTGTGTCTTTCTAAGCAATCTATTGTAAGCAGCTGTTTTAGTTCTCTGTGGATCATTAGATGCTGAAAGAACATTTTACACACACACACACACACACACACACACACACACACACACACACACACACACACACACACACACACACACAACTGAAAGAACATTTTCCACACACACACGTGCTCATCCACACAAGTCCATTTAAACAAAATGACTGTTGAAATATTTTGGGTGTTTAGCTTCATAATACTTTCTAAACACACATTTTTAACAGAAGTTTAGTAATAGTCAATGTTGCTTATTTACCTGTGCTCTAATAAAGTTTAGAACATTTAATGTTCTATTTCAAACTACATATTTTTATAATAAATTAATTCTTCACCCAGGGTGAGTGGATTTTATGTTCCTTGTGTCAAACCCTTGCTTCCTGAGCCATCGAAAACAAATGAGATAAGTGATTACTAACAATCATGTTCTGCTGTCTCGAGAGAGGGTTCAATTCTGAAAGACATAAAAATGTAGTTTCCCTCTTCTATTTCTGAAGAAATAGATAAGGCTGATTGCAAATGCCAGCTTCTTTGGCTGCACTAAATGAGAGTTGAGTGTTGACATTTTATTTCCAAGAGGCACCTGTGACACTTTGGTAGGCTCATCTGTAAATAAGCAAATACAGCTGCCATTACTTGGTGTTTGCCAAAATGTCAGCCCAGAGGTGACACTGGTCATTTTGAGTCACACTGACAATGCATAGCTGAGAGAACTATGACAGAACTATGAAGAGAGGGACTATTTGTCTGCAATTTCTTTACTAATTCCTTCCATAAATTGGAATTTAAAGAAAAACTCATGTCCATTATTGTGTATTTATCTTATAGTTCTGGATTTGTCTAGGAAATGCAAGATAAATTTCCACCATGTTTATGTGTATTGATGTTCTATCTGGAATCACTTTCTTGCTATGAAAATGATGCAAGAAAGTATATTCATACATGGTATCTGATGAAAGGGATCTTCCTTATGTATGCCAAAAAAATTAGCCTGTTTGGGGTTCTAGCTCTGTAGCTTGATGCCTGGTGACAGATTTTTAAATTTGAAATCTATTTTGATCTATTTTATATTGTTTAAAGATAGACTCTTCATCTGTTTCGACCTACCATATTTTTTTAAATTTATTCTCTGATTTTCTTAGGAAAGCCTACTTCAGTCAAGTAGAAGTGTCTTGTTGCATGCAGCTGAAATAATCCAGATTTCCCCTTCCTTCAGCAATGCTAAATTTATGTTTGTAGCTCCATAGTATAAAATATTCATATCTACAAATGCCTGTTTTGTAAGTCAAAACCTTTTTAAGAGTGTCAAAAATTTTAGGAAGCATTCATTTAATGGGATTTTATTAAACATCCTTTGAAATTTTAATTAGGTAAATAATGACAATACACATCACATGTTTACTTAGTTTTTTCTAACTACTTTCTTCCTAGATGTTTTAAACTTCAGTCTTTCAATCACACTTTTATTGATTAAATTAAGGACTTGTGTTTAATGCAAATAAACAAAAGTCCTTAATTTTATCCAAAATACAAACTGTATTGTTATCCCTGTTTATCCAAAATACAAACTAATTCCAGTTGAAACACCTCTACAAATCCTCACAAATTTGCATTACCTCTGTATTTTGCTTGTAGTGTATTTTACAGGTGAGAATCCCTGGGAATTTACTTTTTACTTTTCCAGAGAGACAATGGTGGGTTCTAGAAAACGAGAGTTGCCACAGATAAAATGTAGCACAGCCTACAAATAGAATGGGATAATATGTTACCTAAATAACAGCATTTAACTAGGAAAAAGTCAAACCCAACAAAATAAACCACAACAAAACCAATAAAAGAGGCAGCATTATAAAACATTTCAAAATGAGGCAGAAGTCCACTTTTACATTTTTTACTCTCTGTTGCAAAGGGGTGATGTTATTGAAGTATTGCTTTATATTAACCATCTTTAGTAATAGTTCTGAACATACTCATAGATGAAGACTGAATGCTTTGTAAACTCATAGATGAAGACTGTAAGTCATAGATGAAGACTGAATGTTTTTACTACCTCTGTTTAATTCTTAATAGTGTTTGAAACACAAGACAAGCCATTACATTAATTGTACTTTTCAGTGTGAAAAGGATCATCATGGTTTGTTATTTGGTGAAAAAAGGAGCAACTTCCCCTGCAACTCACAGTCTTTCACTGACTTTTTCCTTATTATGGATTTTGTATCCTTCGTTTTTTCTTCAATTTACCTTTACCCAGCTGTGCTCCCTAAACTCTACCTCCTTAATAATCTTCCAAACTACTTCTTATCCTGAATAAACTTTATTATTGTTTATGCACTTTGGTGATGTGATCTTCTGGACCATCTCCTATTCCTGAGCTTCATTCCATCATAAATCACCTTTTAGAAAATAAATTATGTTCTTATTGCAGGAAATGACTTAGATATGTACCAACACCACTTGCTGGAACTTCAGCAAAGACTGTTGTATGCTGACAAGGAAAATAAAAAAAGATCACACGAACTGAGCAGTGCCCTAGATGAAATTAAACATATAATTGCAAGAAGAATGAACATGACAAGAAACCACACAGGTGTGTAGGGGTTTTCTCTGGTTTTTGTTATGTTGTTTTGTTGGGGCTTTATTCTTAGGACACCAACATATAAATTTTAGTGCTCTGGCTTCTTCCCATTAATAGAACTTTTTAGCTACCTTGCCTTACAGACTGTTGTACATCTCTATCTATCTGTACACTCTAGTTACATGCAATATATTGACAGTTTGATTTTGTAACGTAAAAATAAATTATGTAGTTATGCAGGATCTGTCTTCCTCCCTGTTGAGACTGGCAGAGCTTCTTCCCTGGAGTGAGAAGGGGAACTAGAAGAGGCATCTCTGTGCTGGAGGCATTTCACAGAATCCCCCAACTTCAGAAAGAGTCTGGGAGTGACTGAAAACTGCCATTTAACAATCCTTATTTTCATTCAGTACAGCAGGCTGATAATCAGACTAAAATGGGGAATTAACGTGGACTGTTAAAGGGGAGGAAGGAACAAGGTGCATTTCTTCTTTGTATAGTCAGAGTTGTTTCTTCTCCTGCTCTCCCCTGCCAGTTTTTTGTCTGTTTATCTGATAATAATTCATTTGGGCTGTTCAGAACTTTATAAACAAAGGCAGGGTGGTGGCCTTAGGAGCTGTCAGCCCCCAGTAACCCCACATACTGTGGGCAAACAGTTACTGCCTAATGCACAAAATTGCAGTAAAGGAGAGTGCAAGTTCTCCTTGTCCCTGCTTTTGGTTCTTATTGGAGCCAGCTAAATTTCAGAAACTATTATATCTGTCAGTTCACAGGATTTAAGGCAGAAATTTCTTAAAATTGCTGAATAATTTTCCTTTTATTTTTACTTACCCTTCTGCTTCCCATTCCATCCATGTTTTATTATACAACCAAAATTAAAGGTTTATTGTAGTCAATGGAACTAAACTCCCTTGCCAATATTTGATAGGTACTACTTCCAAATTAAGAAGAAAAGTCCTTGAAAAGTTGTGAAGGTGGTTTCTATGCAGCAAAATTCCAGTATATTTAATGGCTTAACAGTGTGGAAGGGCTTGTGGGTCTCTCTCTCTCATAGAAAAATGTCTGGGCAGATATATATATGGTTGCTTCAGGGTTTTTTAAAGTATTTTATGTAAGGTAGGAAATCTCTTTTTAGAACTAATTTTCAGTGGGAGTATCTTTTGGAAGTTGAAAAACTTAAAATATTGCCCATTCAGTAAGCCTCTGCTTTTCTTAATCTAAGCTGAGTGAATGAAGCTGATGATGGTTTTTGTGATACATGTATGTAACTTTGAAGGTGGTAAATTTTGGGAGTTATTTTAGATGCATTTCTTGGGAAAAGCAACTTTCTGTCCCAGTCAATAAACGTTTTGTTGCTTTCATGTTTATTTTAAAGTAGTAAAGAAAAATAAAATCCTTTTTTTTCTCTTAACTGCTGTAGCCTTTTGTTTCTTGAATAGTTTTTAAAGGCCTGTATGTGGCCATTCTTTTTACCATAGGACATTTGATAAACTGAGAACTTTTGCTTGAGCTGTAAAAACCACCATGTGTTAGTTTTTGGGGAAAGCATTTAAGTTTATTAAGTAGTTAAGAAAGTTATTAATCAGAACCTGTGTTTATTTTAATTTAAAAATTTTTTGCCAACCGTGTTAAAAAAAACTAAAAAACAACAACAAAACCAAACAGTTTTTTACTGCTGCCTTTAAAATAACTACTTACTGTGTTTTAAGAAGACTCAGTCTTGCAAGTGTGCAGGCATAGGGAAATGTGTCCCAGGATGTTCAAGCTTGGAGCTCTGCACCGCCACCTGAGTGGGAAGGAGTTGTACTGGGAAATTCTCAATTTAATATAATGTCATATATGTTATATGACATTAATCATAATCTGAGAAGCAGCATTAGAAAACATTTCTGAGGAATGTTTTAATAATTTCTGAGGAATAGAAATTGAATAACCTTGTGTGTAGTAATCTGCCAATGTTCAGATGGGCAAAACAGGTGAAGAAATAGGCTTCTCTGCTTGCTTTTTACTTTATGTAAAGCTTACATTTTACTTTATGTGGATCTGTGTGTTTGTTGTGTCTTTAAGGTGATTTCAAGTGGAAAGAGTTAAACCTCCCCAGAAAACTCCCCATGCATCTTACAAATATCTACTACTATCTCCCTCACCTTCGAAAATATGAAGATGCAATTTTCCCAAATGTTATTTTTGGGCAACAGAGAACTGGAGGTAGGAAATCAAGTTTGGCTTCTATTTGCTATATGTTTGTATTTTTTATTAATTTCTAGCAACGAAGCATACTCAAAAGTTTGGAATAGATTTTCTCCCTTAACTTTCTAATGTTGCCAAGCTGAATGAATTTTAATGGCAATAGCAAAAGTGCTTTTAAAATGCCCACCCCTATTTCAAGTTTTTATCTCAAAGTGTTCTGAAAACCCCTTGAAACAGTAATAAAATAATCTTAATTGAAAAACAAGGTTATTTTTTAAAATCATATGTTCATATGGCTAAGATGCAGTTGCTGACATTTTTTCCCCACAAAATTAGTATGGATGAGGAAGCCAAGGCGAATTTGCAATGTATTCAGTTTGCCAATGTGAGAAGCAAAGGGAAAGGTGATGTGATAATTTAAAGGATATTAATATATCTTCAATGTAGCTTTTTCATCCACATGACAAATCAGCTGGCATCTGTAGAAATCATAATGAATTCCAGTGAACTATAATACAAATTTTAAATGTATTGTCCTAACTGTCATGTGACAGGTAAAAGGAACATGCAGAAATAGTAAGCAAAGAAGAAACTAGTCAACCATTTTGCTGAGTTTTGTGTTTTGTTGAAATTTTTACTTTTCTCTAGGGTGATTTTATATGAAGAAACATTGGCAGTGTTTTTGATTTAACTAAAAAAAACCCCAAACCCTGCGCCATGCTCATGACAATGGATAACTTTCCACAGACTACTTATTAGTAGGTGTAGTTGTAGTAATGTGATCTAGTGTTGGAATTCTCACTGGAGTGCCCATAGGTCAGTGTCACTAATACAAAAATACTCTATGTTTAACCTTTTTTGTTTTATTTGTACAGGAAAATCACAATAGCAAGACTGCAGTTTAATAAGTACAGGTTGACCTTCAGTGTACAAAATGAAACAAACCCCAATGGTTTAATGGGATATTGCTGGGAAAGGAACATTGGCACTTTGGTTTTTGAGCTGACACTGACATGGAAGTCAAAGTCAGAAGGAAGTCACTAACTGCACCTACTGTTTTATTTCAAACTGTTGCTTCCTCACTAGCCTTCTGGGATTTTGGTGAATAGAAATAATCTGCAAGGACTAAGATTGCACAGCTTTACTGAGCTATGTTTGGCTGCTGATTTAAGTAATGCCCATACTAATGAAAAAAGAGACATCCTGGTTATGATCTGAGGGTGTAACACAGCATAGGTTTGCTACTAGTGGAGTGCTTGCCAGAGACAGTTTCAGTTCCTTCTTTTTAATTGCAGTAACATCTTAGTTCTTTATTCTTATTGATGCTATGAAAACCATTGATACATATCAATTAAACTGCCCAGAGGGATTTTTGAATTGGGTTCCTTCCTGAAATACACAGCATTCACTTCCTATGAGAACCTGCTCACTAGAGTAGTGCAATATTCACTTTTGAATCTCAGTAGCAAACACCTACGTGTTTGCCAGAGGCAGGGGTATCTCCAAGTTCTCAAGTGTAGACCTGGTGTTTGTAACACAGACACAGGTGTCTCTAAACTAAACATAGCTGGAGGTATCTCCCCTCCCAGGTAGTAGAGGAAATGCCATCACAGTGCTAAGGAAATATTAACTGTCTCCAAGTTTCATGGTCACATCAAATCAAAATTAAAATGTGATTTCAATTTCCCTTTAAGTTACATGGCTTGAGGCATTCTCTCTTTGCAGTCTCCTTGGTGATGGGTATTCCTACAGTGAAAAGGGAAAAACAAAATTACCTGATTGATACATTGCATTCCCTACTGTACCAACTATCTGAAGAGCAAAAGAAGGACTGCGTAATAATCATCTTTATAGCAGAGGTATGTGTGCATGGAAAGATGCAGGATGCTGATAAGAAAACATGGAGATTTATGTCTCAATGTAATAGTACAAAAATACTGTTGCAACACAGTGCAAATACTATTTGCAAATACTATTTGCAATAGTACTAGCAAAATACTAGCTTGGCCTTTGGGAGGGATTTCTTCAGGGCTGGAGGAGATGGTGAGCAGTTAGTGCCTCAGTGTTCATATGTGGAAAAAAACCCTGTTATGCAGATGATCTAAGAGTAAAAAGTCTTATTACATTTACCAACACAGTCCTTGGATCAGATTTTCCATCAAAACCATATGAACTCATTATTTATCTTTGAAAGTAAGGTTTTCTGCTTCCAGAATGAAACGTATGTCCTCCACAGAAAAGTGCCATAGAATATGAAGACAGTAAACTTAGTGTAACAAATATTCAAATTATATATCTTCTGGTTTGATAACATGTGTCTTGCAAAGTATCTTGACATATTGGAGCCTTCTGCATGTGTTTTGGCATTTCCCATGCAAAAGAAAACTGTTGAGAGCCTTGAGCCTGTTTGGGAAAGTAAACAGTGCTCAAGGTAAGATATTAAGGATAATTTTTTTTTTTTCCCTCACTCAAAAATACCTTGATTACATCAGAAAAAAAATTTAAAAAAGGCTGCAGAAAGGAATTAGCTAGTAATAGCTTCTAGCAGGTAAAATGACTGTGCAATTATTCAGAATTCATATTTATTCTTCTCTGTTCTTCCATAGGCAGCATTAAATTAACGCATTAAATTAACATATTCATTAACAGTTTGCTATTTTTTATTATTTAGTCATCACTTTTGCTGGTATAAAAGTGTCAAACAGAGTATAGTTCACTTTAATTTTGGCCATGACTTCCAGTTTTCTGTTTGGATCACAATGATGAGTACAGAGGACTAATTTTATTGGCTGTAGTTCCTCTTCAGCATAGTTTTAAGGAGCTGAACTTGCCTTGCAGTTCATATTTCACAATGAAGAGCCTTGGCAGTGATGAGCTTTGACTGGCTGCCATTGAGGTAAACTTCTTATTACAGGGCTTCAGAGGATTCTGTGAGTTTTTAAGGGTTGACTTTTGAATAGTTTCCCACTGTGGAGAGTCCTAATGTGATACTTGGAACAAAGCTGTGGTTGTAGAAATAGTCCATATTAGCCAATTCAGGATTAAACTGCCATTGTAAGACCTACTCTCCCTTTTCTCCCAACTCAAAAGTCATGTTCTCACAGCTTCCATTTTTTCAGCAATAAATTGGAGCAGATAAGCATGCTGATCTGATGAGAGGTGATAAGAACATTTTATTATGGGAAAAGGACAGGTGTGTTCACTGGTCATGAATCCACACCTTCCTTTTTCCCACAAAGTTTTAAAAGATCAAGGTGAATGTTTACATCATGGGTTAAGCTTGAGTAACTTATTGACTGAGAGTGAGTTTTAAGTTCTGGGTATTTTTTTTCTTACCACAGTTCTGTATTTCACTTTTATTTTACTTACCACAAGTTTGGTAACAATTATAATTGGTAACAATTATATATTAAACAATTTGTTTATTTAAAGAAAAAATCTGAACTCCTAAGACAGTTATTGTGTTGTTTTAGAAATAAAACTTTGCACTCTAAATGTAGTTAACAGATATGTTTGGCACACTAACATTGTTACTTTTATGAAACAGCAGTAATGAGTGTCTTCAAAATTTCCAAAGTTAGAGCTGTAAGTTTGTTATATTAGGAAGAAATTAAATAAAAAATGTAAATATTGCTGGCTTTAGAATATTTTGCTTAGGTGATTTTTCTCATCAGCCGTAGGCCTCTTTTGTGACTTTTGAATTATTAACCCAAACCAGCTCTTTTTTTTGCTGATAGTTATATGGCTGTGCTTTACTGGCACAGCAGAACAGAATTTTGGCCAGAAAATAGCTTGATCTTCTGCAAAAGCAGTGAAAAATAAAGTGCCAAAATGTCAGCTGGAGATACTTGGAAGCAAAAGTGAGCTATATTGAAAGTTTGGTTGGCTTGAAAAGCCCATACTGTTCCTTACTAGAAATGCTGCTGTAACATACCACATTTGTTTGGAAGGAAAATAAATTAAGTGTTTGCATATACAGATTCCATACAAAGTGTTGTTTCACACAAAAATGAGAGACTTTTAATGAAACCCTTCCTTCTTTTCTTTAGGTGGATGCAGAGTATGTTAAGAGTGTTGCAGAAAGCGTTAAAGCCAGGTAAGTCCTACACTCAATCACCAGTGTGAACATATTTGGAGCTTTTATGGAAAGAACTAGAACATTTCAACACTGAAATGGAACTGAGGCAAAGGTGCGCTCTCAATATGTATGCCATTACACACTCTGAAATTGAGAAGTATGTATATCAATTAATTTTTCATTTCTTATTTGATAATTATGCTTTAACTAACCAGACAAGGTCTCAGCTTAAATCTCTGATAAATATTTACTTGAGCCTAAGTCTTTTCCCCACGAAATTAATGGTGGAATTTATACACCTGAGGTTGCATATATGAGGTCCCCAGTGACTACACAACCCTGTAGTGTAATCTGGCATCTGTCATAGAATCACAGAATTCCTTAGGTTGGAAAAGCCCTGTAAGATCAATAGAGTTCAACCATTAGCCCAGCACTGCCACCACTAAACTATGTCCCCTAGTGCCACAGCACAGCCATGTTTTCCCAGGCATCTTTGTTTCCATTTTTTTTACTATTTTTCAGGAAGGCAATAGACTTGGGACAGGAATGGGATTACATTTATAATCTTAAATGCTATTACATGATGGGAAACATGAGATGGGTAATCTTTTCCTTGCCAAAGTAACCCTAGAGATGTCAAATGGAAGCTTGGTTCCCACTACAGTTCTGCTTGCTCTTATCTTCCTTGAACAAGATCCCTGGAGGAGTTGACCTTCCACATTTGAGGGTTTCTGCACATCCTCCTTCACTCAAGGGTTTCCCAGACTGTGTTTTGTGTGTGGGTTTCCCCCAGAAGACTCCTCATACTGAGGCTATTAGCTAAGTAATATTCATCATTTCCTGCCCTCAGAGGATTTAGCTCAGCTAATCCTCCCTCTAAAGAGGACAAGGGGAAGAGGCATTCCTTCTTGGCACTGCCAGGGTACAATACCTACAGCAATTGAAACACTCAGAGAATTTTAATTACTGCTTTATGGCTTTTGAAAAAAATTACTGCAGAGTATTTGCTTTGTCAGGGCTACACAGATTGATATTTTTCCCATAATGCTGGTATTCTGATGTGTTTAATTTTTAGTGTTATCTTTTGTTTACTAATCATAGGAAATGGGAACTCAGTTTTGGAACCACTACTCTACCTGTTTTGTGTTTGGGTTTTAAAATTATCAATTTATGGACCTGAGGCCTGATTGTTTGTTTTTGTTGGGTTGGTGTTTTTTTGTTTAGATTTTTTGATTGGTTGTTTTGTGGTTTTTTTGGAGGAAAGGGGAGATTTGACTTCCAAGTTTGGCTCCCAAAATAGGTCACACATTTTTTCAATGTCTCGTCAATGGAAAATTTAATTATTGGAGCAGAGACTAGACCCAGATTCCCCATTTTGAACTCCTGCTGTGGGACAGTATAATTTTGCTTAGAAAGTAGAATTAGAGTTGGAGTAATGGTAAGGAAACTGGGACCGCTCATGCAAGACCAACAGTTGTGTGTTGTTCTAGGTAGTGTGTTTGGCTGTTAATTACTGTTGCATTTTGGCAACTATCTCTGGATTGTTAGTAAGCATCTACAGCTGCAGGAGGGACAGGATTTCTGAGACACACTCCTCTCCAGTGTTTTCTGAGACTTGGATGAGTTCCTGACCTATCTGTTCTGATGGTTGTTAAAAGCCCCTTCTTGGTTCCAAGTTTGCAGTCAGTTTCTTCGCTAGAGTGGTGAATTCCACTTCTGGAGGAGCAGACCTAACTTTGGGGAGCTGCTCTCTTTGGCTGCCCTCAAAAGTCTTTTTGAGGAACGGGTTCTCACTAGGATTCCCTTCCCAGCTTCCCCAGAGAAATCCAGTCTGGAGTACTAGAGGTTATTTCTCCTCCTGCTTCCTATTACCCAGATCTTTCCAACCTGAAGACAACACTTGGAGATTCTGAGGACCGAATAAGGTAAGATTGCTGTATAAAATCCAAGAACTTTTGCTAAGAGTGTAAAATGGAAAATTCAGAAAATGTCAGCGTTGTTGAACTGATAATGTCTTTGCGTTTCAGAGCTAAAGGACCTAATCTGTACTTGCAAAAAAAATTTAAAGGGGATCTTGAGAAATGCTATGCTGCACATCAGCTTCAGGGTGAGAGCCAAGGCATCTCCTTTAGGTCTTGGCTCTAGGCATCCAACAGGTTTTAAACCAGATGGATAATGCCAACAAGTGATAGGCTATATAATCTGTCATAAAGGAAAAAATAGAAAAATCTTTAATGTAACTGATGAGGGAGAGTCTCTGTGAACACACAGCCAATATGGTCCTTTAGCTAGCCACTGACAACTACTGGGTTTAATTAATGACCTAACTTATGGTGATCATTGCATTTTTATCTACTGTTACTACACTCTTAATGGTGATTTCATTCACTCCCATGCCGCAGATTCAGTAAGACAGAGATTATAACCTTAAAAAAATATTTATTGGAGGAAAGTAATTTTCTTCATCAACAAGAACTAATTTATCAGAAGCCACTGCAACAATGCAGCAAGAGAGTTGCAGTACTAAGAGTTTAGGCTGGAGGAAATCAGCTAGTCTATTTACATATGTGTGTGTATGTATATTGGCTTTCTAGATAAACCTTATGTGTTCATACCATAGACCATAAAAAAGTTTACATACTTATAATTTAGTTTTAGATGTGATTAGATTCGGATCATTTATATGTTCGCATTAATTAAATGCCGATAAATTAGTCTGTAGTCTTTCAGTGTTGATTATCAAACATCATCATCATCCTCTGGTAAAATGAGAGACAGTACATAATACATGTTTATATTTAAACCTGAAAATTACAGTTATCAACCTGCTCTTGTGCTGTTCATATGTAAAACCATTTACTTTTTAATCTTTAAATAATCCATGTGTCTTTACTTCTACTCTTCATAAAATAATGAGTAGAATCTTTTAAGTTATTTGACATTAATAACTTGTTAGACATTTTGTTTCACGCTCCATTGACGGAGATAATTTTTTTTGTTTATTTAATATTTATTTTTGTGTATTTAATGTTAACTTTTACAGGAAACTAAAATTATTTACAAATGTTTGCATTGATTGTAGATTAATCCTTTTGCACTTAATAATGGAATATACAGAATATACAACCTTACAATTTTATTGTATGGACGAAAAATGCAGAGCTTAAAAGTTCTCTTATTATAGAAATAACTCTTGCAACCTGCTCAAAAAGCTTATCAGAATTTGCTGCTTATGTTTAGGTGGAGAACTAAACAGAATTTGGATTATAGCTTTTTAATGCTATATGCTCAACCTAAGGGGACATTTTATTTACAGGTATGTCCGTATGTCCATATTATCATTAAGTAGCAGCAATACATCTGTACTGCTGATTAGTTTTGGCAATTTTTATTTCAAAGGCCTCAATAAAATTCTGTGTATTTTGCATATGCTCCTTACAAGCATCCACATATTTCTGTATTTATCTAAATCTTGCAGCCAGGTATTATTTTATTAAAACCATCTCTACCTTCCTGTCATTTGTGAGGTTGAAGAGCAAGGTAACTGAAGCATGAAATGCTCATTTGATTAGGTTAAGAAAGTATCTTTTTACTTACTGCAGCCAGGAAAAATAGTGATAGGTTCAGGTTATAGCCCAGAGGACACTTAAGTGAAATATTTCAGACAGGGAAATACCAGTAGAGTGATACTTGAGCTAAGGTCAACTACAAGTTGGCACAGACCCTTAATTCTCCAGAAGATTTTGTGTTAGCCTTTAAGAAGATCCCCATGCATATAAGCTTAGCTTTAACCACCATTCTAGATTTGTGCTAATTTGCACTCCATAAAGATCTTAATCACCACCAGAGATTCCAAAATTTATAAGAGCTGTTCAGTCATGGAACAGGTCTATACAATTTCATGTAGCTCAATAATGTCAGCAGTTTTTAAAAAAAGCTCAGAGGAGCATTTTGCCTCGGAGTTGGTATTCCATGAGGACATCACAGGTTTCCTGGAAACAGAAGAATGCAGGACCTGGCATCTCCTACAGTTTTTCTCAGGATCCAACAAAACCACGTTTGAGCTGGGCTACTTAAGACTCCCCATGCTCTGTTCTCAAACGTGGCATAGGTGCTCAGGATGCAGATGGACAAACAAAAATGCCCTGTTTGAACAATTATGGTTTAATGGAAAATAAAGTATTTTCCTGTGGCTTTTGTATATTTTAAGAACATTATCTAAGTTTATTGAGTGCACTACAGCATCAAGGTGTACGAAACCCAGTGAAGTGAAACATTAGGATGCTGCCAGACACTTGATATCCCTTCCTGTTACCAAGTTCTCCAAGGATTCATATTTGTACCACAATGACTTATGTATTTGTATTTGTAAAGGAATTTGAGAACATGTGTTTTCTTATCTGAACTGTGTTATTAAGAACAAAGCCTGGATGGTGGTGGTCTGGGGGGAGTTATGTTTGCTTTTGGAATTTTCTTAAAAAGAAACTATACTTTCCTCATAGCGTTCCTACTATATCCCATTCTTCATTTGTATGACCAGCCTGCAGCTGTTCCTGCAGCACAGATGCTGCTCTGCCCAAAAGCTACTCTGTAGAGTGCAGGTGTAAAGAACGAACACTTGCTGCCATAAACTTAGTTATGTCCTCCCTCTGTTTAGAAGTCTTGTATTAAAGGAAAGCAAACAACTTAAAACTGCTTTTCCTTAGACTGGTACAATATTTACTTCAGTAAGCTTAAGCAAAACTTGAGCTAGGTTAGATTTTTATTTAGTTTAGTCATGAATAGTATTGATTGAGTGGCTGACGCTAACTCCCAAACCTTGAAAGAAGATATATGCACATAATTAGTCTTGACGTCTACAGAACAGTTGATGTCACGAGTCAGACAAGATCTTTGCTGAATAAACACTTGTTCTAGATCCTGCTGAACCAGGATTTAAGTAAGTCTTTTTGTGAAGTCCATTGACGCTAACAGGCATACACTGGGGATGAACCTTACCCACTGATTACCCACTGATTACCCACTGATCAACTTGTCTACTTAAATCTTTTCCCCACTCCACCACCCTGAGAGAACTTTGGGGTCCTTGTTTCCACTTTCACTAAACCTCCTGGCATGCACCAGAGACCCTTGAAGCACTTACAATAATGGGATCATAACATAGCCATAAAAACAATCCAATCCCAGCCTAATAGTGAGGACATGCATTTGTTATTTCTTGTCCATGTAAACTTAGTTTACTGCAGGAATCAAACATTTCAAATCTGAAAGAAACACAGATACAGCGGTTTTTAAGTGGTTTCTATTAGCACTGAGATGAAACAAAAATAAACCATTAAATAAATCTTAGGTTCTTCAGATAAAATCTCTTATCAAGTTCTAACTTAACTTTTAGTTGTTTCCTGAACTACTGTTATGATTTTTTTATTATCTCGTATGGAGGCTGGGAAAACTTTGTGTATTTATATATTTTATATTTATATATATATATATATATACACTGGTAAAATATATTGCCACCAGCACGTCTCTAATGGATTCAAAGCCTAAGCAATATCTCAGTGATATCACTAGTACTCTTTATATGGACTTTTTTTTTTCTTCTTCTCACTAGACTCTAGGTTATGCCTGCTATTTGGTAGAGCTCCTAAAAGGTGCTCCACATTTTTCACAATTCATTGTTAGTGAGACAAAATGTAAAAATACTCTAATAAAATTCAGGAAGGAAGAACCTTCCTGTCTGATGCCTGAACTTTCATTGTATTCTTCCACTTTTTTGTTACTACTTAATTTTTACTTCTCTTAGACAGACAACCTGCATAAGAAAAATGAAAGGAAACCCATTTGGTACTTATCATGTAGGAGATTTTCATAGTCTTGCTGTATTGGATGTGTATTTTTCCATTCAAAAGCACTGATGAGAGAAGGGAAGTTAGCTGTGATTATGTGTTTTGCTGGCCTTCCCATGGCAATGGGGCAAGTGGACTAGGCAGTTCATATCTTAAATTTCCTGATCCAGCTGTGTGCAGCTGCACATCCTCCTTTGGTAGATAAGAGCATATGAGAAAACAAGTGGCTGTAAGCTGAAGGCAGAAAAAAAAGTCAAATTAGAATTTGGGTACAAAGTATTAAACATTCAGGATAATAAAATGTTGTACAACATACTGAAATAAATGGATACTGGAATCTCTAAGCAATGAGAGAGGTTCTCCAAGATGTGCTTAAGTTGAACACAAATTACAGGGTTAAATAAATAACTTTAATGGCTTGTGCTACATGGGATATCAAACTACATCATCTAATAATCACAGTCAGCTTCAGGAAAGACCATCTCAGACTTCAAAATTACTTTCTGTTCATAACCACATTCAGTCATGTTGCATCACAACCTCTGTGCTTTCAATCTTCACTGGTTTTGCATACTTTTCTATGATGTTTCTTGATATGGTGGCCTCCCTAGGTTTTTGAGATACTCCAGTCTGCTTTGCATCCTTTTTTGGTGCCCCTCAATTTCTCTTTAAGGATTCTCTAAAACCTTCTTTGATTCTTTGCTCTTGTCCCTTTACATCTTGCTCCAGTCTAATGCTTTGAGCTCATTTAATTTTATGCCAGATTTCTTGTAAATTGATGTTTGGGTTTGGGTTTTTTTCATTGTTCTCTTCTGCTTAGCTCCCAACTCAGTCCAATCCCCAGATCTCAGAATCTGTTAATCTTGATCAGTTTGACTCTATCTGTGCATTTATCTCACCATCAGCAAAAGCTGACAGGGTCAAAACAGATCTCTTAATCTCATTTTTCATTGTTCTTTTCTGCTTAACTCTCAATCCCCAGATCTCAGAATCTGTTAAGAAGCATTAATCTTGATCAGTTTGTCTCTGTGCATTTCTTATGTTACCATCAGCAAAAGCTGACAGGGTCAAAACAGATCTCTTAATCTCATTTTTCTAACTTCATTTTACTTATTCCTGGGTTCACTATTGCCAACACATTTCTTGTCAGCCAGCCCTACACTTGTAGCAATGCAGAAATTCAGCTAAAACCTCTGGTCCTGATCTTTCAAGCTCTTGATGATGACCCTGCTGCATCAGTTGAAGACCCAAAACCAGCAGGAAATCATGTTTTGTTTGGCTGGGTTTTTTCCTCAAAGAATTAGTTTTCTAGCTGTTTAGCTTTCTGAAGCCAGTTCCAGCAGAATCAGACATGCAGCAGGGCCAGTGAAGTACAGCAGTTAGAATAAATTACTATATGATTACACTACACCCCAGCAATATTTTCCTGAAGTCTTAGCTTCCTCTTCCTGTATTTTCACACCCATACTGAATTCAAACCATTAATTACTTGCTCCTAAATTATTTCTGGAATACATTTATTTCCTTTGTGTCATTGCCTCCAACCTCCTTGTCTGGATTCATAATCCTCAGTTTTAGTAGCACAAACAGCCTCTGGCTTTTCAGATGCCCAGTTCTTGTCTGAAAGCCAGGCAAAAATGAAGCCAATACCTTTCTCATTTCCTTGATGGATGTCAGTCTCCTCTTCCAAGTACCCTTTAGGTGACACTGCTGCTGTACTCTGTGCTGGACTTTACAACATCTTGAAAACTCTATGTATGCCTGTCCTTCAGTGTGATTCACAGAGCACACCCCATCATTTCTAGTATCCCCTGGGACAACCTGGTTTCTACAGGCATCTCAGTAACCATCCACAGTCCTTCTCAGTTGCCTTGTTTGAATGACAAAGTCTGCCCAGGCTACTGAACCTTTTACACACCTTTCCTCTCAGACAGTTTGCTCCTCTAGCTCAGCAATGCTTATACAACCTAAGAACAAACTGCTTATTGTTGTCTTCCTTAACCGCTTGTCTTTTTGCTTAATGTTTTCTTCTAAGTGAGATCTCTAAGGCAGGGAGTCCTCCTTCATCAAAAAAGAGAGAGGCACCCATGGTGTTATGGTCACTCCTGTAGATAATTACTTAATGAGTGATATATGTAGAAACTAAATACCAGTCCACTTGTGGGTTGTTTGGCACAGCTTCATTACACGTGGTACATCACAAACACAACACAGTTTTCACTTGCTTGTGGCAATGTCACCACCCCCTCTGCAAACAATTAAATCACTGCTTACCTTCTCTTTTTCTGTTGCATTTCCCCCCCCACCCTCCAGCTGGAAGATGATATTATAGCCAAACCTGATTTTATTGAAAGTATAAAAAGGTTTGCTGCTCAACAGTCCCAAGATTGGATGGTTCTCGAGTTCTCACAACTTGGATTTATTGGTAAGTATTAAGACCTTGGCAGGATCAACTGCATTTGCAGCTGTGTAGATCAAAAAGGTCTCAGTCAGAATCACATCTCAAAGCATGGAAGAACTTGCACTTCAAAACTTCCTTGGTTCTTCAGGAAATAGCCCACTGAAAGTAGTTTACTTTTTGTTCTCTTTAAAACTGTCTTGTTAATACAGAGTCTCTTTAGCATAGAATCTGTAATTGAGTTCCCATAAGGAGGAAGTTGTTCCACCTCAGGGAACTTTGTGCCCCTGTAATGTGTAGTTCTCTTTTCAAGAACAGAATTTAAACAATCTATTAAAAAACCCCCAAAACTTCCTTTTCTTTGTGAAGGAGATTATGCATCCCATATCATAGGACTGGATGATGAGCAACTCTTCAAAGCCAGACTCTATGTGAAGTTTTTCATTAAATATCATAATTATATTCATGTGTGCAAGGCTGGTGTGATACTTAAATGTTTATTTAAATAAATTACATTTAAACATAAAGCTGGCGATTCTTGCATAGCAATAAAAATATAACTTCTTGTCTTGCTTTCAGGAAAATTGTTTAAATCAGAAGACTTACCACTCATAGTGGATTTTTTCCTCATGTTCTATAAGGATAAGCCTATAGACTGGCTTATAGACCACCTGCTCTGGGTTAAAGTGTGCAATCCAGAAAAGGATGCAGTAAGTATAACTGAGTTTATGAAGATAAATAACATTCAAACACTCTCAGTGACAAAATTCATTTTCAAAAAGTAGAATATAAATCTCTCAAACTGGACTTTGGACTGACCAGAGTTTCTGCTTCTTCTTGAGTTTTAGGATTCAGGAGTTTTAACTGGTGCAGCCAGTTTCTGCTCCAGGATTTGCACGTGTTACTTTTGTGTTGATAAAGGACCAAGAAGAAACAGACAGGAGTTGTGCAGAGCAGGAGATTAAGGGGAACGGAACAAGCAAGCTTCAAGTTTTACCCTGTAGCATAAGTGACTTCTGGGGATAGCAGAAGATCCCTGGTTTTAGACTTAGTAGTGCATTGCAGAGTCTCCAGACCCACTCTGTACAGATAGGAGCAAGCTTTTAAGTCCTGCTCTGTGGGTTAGGCCAGTTCATAGGAATTAAGAGTGTGCCTCAAGAAACTAATTTCAGTTCTTGCCTGCCTGTGAAAACAGATTAAAAACCAGAATGCTATTATGTTGACATCACCTATTCCAGATCGAACATGTGACAACTTCCATCCAATAGATGAAATACTTTATTTACAGCTGTTCCATCTTCTAAGACCTGATTCCTACCTAAAATGAAGCTGTGTTCCCAAAAGGCAGGCAGGCAGCTTGTGGAAGTCTGCTCTGATCAAGCCAAAGCAGAGTGGTGCCCCCAACTTTCTACTGAGTTTCACTTCTGCATTTGCAATTTCAATTGCTGTGGGTAGAGAAAACCTACTGAGATAAATCAGTCTCACATGGCTCTTGGGGGGGAATGACCAGTGGCATGACATGCTGAGACTATTCATGAGAATGCAGAAAGTGGAGACTGGCAGAAGGCTGGGGATCCCAGCTGTGGCACCTTCTCTCTTTGATTGGTTAAAGCACTGAACTTTTCCTATAGGCATCAGAGAAGGCGAGCTGACAGCTCCTCACACTTTCTCCTTTCCAACCAAGAGTGTCACAAAGTAATCACACACTGTGCTACACAGGAGGGTCAGCAGAGCACTTGTTTGTGTTTTCTATTGACATCCTGTGGTAAAGGATATTTGGCATGTGTTTACGTGGAATCATAGAATTGTTTGGCTTGGAAAAGACCTTGAGTTTGGCATGTGTCCAACCCCCTGCTATGGGCAGGGACAACTACCACTAGATTGCTCAGAGCCCCATCCAACCTGGCCTTGAACATCTCCAGGGGTGGGGCATCCACAGCTTCCCTGGACAACCTGTTTCTGTGCCTCATCATCCTCACAGGAAAGAACTTTCTCCTAACAGCTAACCCAAACCTACTCTCTTTTAGCTGTAATCCATTCCTTCCTGTCCCGTCACCACAGGCTCTTGTGAAAAGCCTCTCTCTGTGTTCCTTGTAGGATCCCTTCAGGTACTGAAAGGCTGCAATTCCTAAAGGCTTCTTTTCTCCAAGCTGAACAATCTCAATTCTCTCAGCCTTCCCTCATAGGAGGGGTGGTCCAGCCATCTGATCACCTTGATGGACTCCTCTGGATCCAACAAGACAGGTCCATGTCCTTCCTGTGATGGAAACCCCAAGCTGGATGCAGCACTGCAGGTGGGCTCTCACCAGAGCAGAGCAGAGGGGCAGGATCTCCTGATCCCCTGCCTCCCCTGCTGCCCACAGTGCTCTGCATGAGCCCAGGATGTATTTGGCTCTCTGGGCTGAGTGCACATTGCTGGGCCACCAGCCTCTCCTCCAGCAGCACCCCCGAGTCCTGGGCAGGGCTGCCCTCAATCTGCTCATCCCCCAGCCTGGACTGATACTGGAGGTTGCTCTGACTCAAGTGCAGCACCTTGTACTTGGTCTTATTAAACCTTGTGATATTCCCAGGGCCCACTTCTCAACCTTGTTAAAATTTTCAGCCTGGACTGACTATTAACATATCAAGGTTCAGCTATATTTGCTCACCAAGAAAAGACAGTTTGTGATGATCAGAGCCGTCTGCATGGTTCAGAAACTTTTTCATGGTTGCCTCCTATGAACCATCATTCACTGCTGGGGTCCCCAGTACAAAAAAAAAAAAATAAAAGCTATGAACCTGTTAGAGCAGGTAGAGAGGCCAGAGAAATGATCAGAGGGCTGGAGACAGGCTGAAAGAGTCAGAGCTCTTCAGCTTGAAGAAGAGAGGGCTTCAGGGGAGACCATATAGCACCTTCCAGTATCTAAAGGGAGCTTGTAGGAAAGAGTGTGTTATGATAAGACAAGGGGCAACAGTCCTAAACTGAAAAAGGTATATTTGGATTGGATATAAGGAAAACATTTTTTATGGTTAGGGTGGTGAGTCACTGGAATGGGTTGCCCAGGAAAGGTATAGATGCCACATCCAGTGTTTCTGACCAGGCTGGATGGGGCTCTGAGCAACCTGGCTTAGTGGAAGCCTGTCTGTGGGGAGTCAGAACAAGATGATCCTTACAGGTTGCTTTGAACCCAAGCATTCTGTGTTTTTGTGCAGTGGCCTGTGCCTATCACATGCAGTGGGAACTGCAGGCTGCAAGGGTGGGAGCCCTGACTCAACAGGCAGTCTTATCTCAGCTTCTGCAGAAATGACCACACCAGCCTCATGCCACCGATTGCAGCTCTTTTTCTAGTGCTGCCATTGAATGAAACAAGACTTCTAGAGCCTGCATTATTGCAGGGGATGAATTGCAAACCCTGTCAGTAGAAAGATCACAAATTTATTTTCTTGAAAATATTTCTTCTTTACTGAAGTCTAGTGTGTCTTTCAGAGAAACAGTTGCCAGTAAATCAATTTACACACAATTGTGGTATTGTGGTTTGACATTGTTTTGCTGAACATCTGCTGTGGACAAAAAAAAACAAACCCCAAAAAACTTAGTTTTTTAAATAGCTTTCCAGGGCATTTTGAACTTTTAATTAGTACTCCTGTGGAAATCACAAATCCCTCATGAGTTTTGATGGTTTTAAGCCAGTTGAGTGAAGACTTAATCACTTCTGGCTTTAGAAGGCATTGATATATTTAATGTAACATTTTTCTTTTATAGAACTGATAGCACTTGATGGAAGAGGTAAGCACATTATCCTCTCAAATTTTAAGGTCTGAGACCTGGAATACAGAAAAGTTAAATGATCTTCAAAACTCATATAATAGTTCTGTGGCAGCACCAAGAGTACAACCCAGGGAGTCTCATTTTAGCTCTTCGCTTTGTTACTTCCCACTATGCTTTATTGTCATATTAATTACTGTGGCATGATTGTGACATTGTATCAAACTACAATGCTCTATATATACAAAGAAAAAGAAGACATTTAAAGAAGTAGTTTGCTATCATTCAAAGACCAAGAAACTACAAAGCTAGTACCAATTATAGTTATTAAATTCCTTGATATATGTCATGTCCCAGGTGTAGTAAACCAGAAAATAGTGGTTGAAACAGTATTTAACAGTATTAAGTATTTAATATCTAATTATGTGATAAAAGATCCATAACTTATTATACATTAAAGCCTCCCAAACACAACAAAAAGAGGCAAAATTATGAATATTGAAATGTAACCAGAATCCATCTTAAGAAGGTCAGTTTTGGTCAGAATAGTTTAATTAGAATGATATGGCAGGACTAAGAGTTGAAATAAAGTTTGCCAGAAACAGCTAAGAAATCAATCAGTTTCAGATTTGAGTCAGTTTTTGTCACCCTGAGAGTGATTCATCACATACTGTGCAGAAATCCCTGAATTACTGGTGATCAAGCCTTCAAATCTAAATAACAACATGAGTGGAATTATGAGATTTGGTCTAGAAACAGTGTATGTGACAGAAGGTAACTGTTAATTTAAGGATTACTCACTTAAATACGGATAGAAAATCTGAACCCATACCCTTACCTACATAATGAAATTGCCTTATGGAACATAGTTTGTCTCTCCTTGGTTAAATAATCTTTCACTCCCTTTTACTTTCTTTCTAGACACACTGTGAAAAGGAAAAGTCAAAGTTACGTATCCGTGCTAAACCATCTCTCTTTCAGCATATGGGAATTTTTTCATCATTGGCTGGGAAGATACAGAATTTGAAAGTAAGAATAAGAAATTAATGCCATATTTTTACATTATATACTTGTGTTCTGACTTATTTCTCAAATGAATTTCAAGGACCACATCTTTGGCATTATATGGCATATCAATATCCAAAAATCATGTTGTTCTACAGATTTGATAGAGAATTTTGATCTGGCATCTAAGCTGCAGGTGGAGTACTGCTCCTGCACAAACACCTTTGAATCTCTCATCTGAGCAGCATTTCATGGCATGTAGGAACCCCCTTCACAACACAAGGTTGCAGATGCTCTGCTCCATGCTAACAAAGCCATGACAATTTGTTTTGTCTGAGCAGTTCACATTCCTAATATGAGGCACAATTAAGAAGGTAGGACAAAGGTGTGCCTAACTTGATGGCCACAGATTTTTAGGGAGAGTTTGGAGAGCAAACCACGCGTCTAATAAGCACAGGAGCAATGATGAACCAGACTTCAGGAATCTCCTGATGATGCCATCTAGACTAGAAATCTTCTTGAAAAAGATTTCTCAATTGGATCAGACCAGAGATTCACGTAGCCTTTAGCAGAGCCCAGCAATCACATGTTCTGGTAGAAGGCATCCTAGACAACTCTGAAATGGCCTCCTGTGAAGATTTTTATTTTTAAATCTTGGCAGCTAAGAAACAATCAGTACAGCTCTGTATACAAATTGTGATGTTGAGTCCCAGTGATTACACTAAAATTAATATTCTATATGTATTAAAAATAGTTGGTGTATTTTTTGACACTGAGGTGATTATTTTATGGAATAGCTTTCTGTACTAATTACAGATACCAATGCACTTTTTTCCATTGTATGAGTGAACTTACATTTCTTTATATCAACAGGATAAAGATTTTGGAAAAAATCAGCTACATAAAGCACATAATAATCCACCTGCAGAAGTGGACACAAGCCTAAGAACATACCAGCAATATACCTTGGAAAAAATTTATAAAGGACAAGACTGTTTTTGGGCTTTAGCTCCAGTGGCAGTGACAAGATTTCTCAATTGGATCAGACCAGAGATTCACGTAGCCTTTAGCAGAGCCCAGCAATCACATGTTCTGGTAGAAGGCATCCTAGACAACTCTGAAATGGCCTCCTGTGAAGATTTTTATTTTTAAATCTTAGCAGCTAAGAAACAATCAGTACAGCTCTGTATACAAATTGTGATGTTGAGTCCCAGTGATTACACTAAAATTAATATTCTATATGTATTAAAAATAGTTGGTGTATTTTTTGACACTGAGGTGATTATTTTATGGAATAGCTTTCTGTACTAATTACAGATACCAATGCACTTTTTTCCATTGTATGAGTGAACTTACATTTCTTTATATCAACAGGATAAAGATTTTGGAAAAAATCAGCTACATAAAGCACATAATAATCCACCTGCAGAAGTGGACACAAGCCTAAGAACATACCAGCAATATACCTTGGAAAAAATTTATAAAGGACAAGACTGTTTTTGGGCTTTAGCTCCAGTGGCAGGCGACTACATCAGGTTCACATTTTTAAATCCACTAGAAGTTGAAAAGTAAGTATTGCATAATATGGAACATGGAAGCCTACATATATCCAGTTTGGAAATGCTTGAGACTATTTGAAGTTATCAGTGCTCAACTGTTTGCATAAACCTTGTTACTAAAAAAATGCATGATTTGCTATTTATCTGCTCTTCTTGAGCTCCCCTCCTGAAATACAAGTCAGTAGTAAGACAGCTTCTTAATTTTTTTTCTTTTATTTCTTCAGGTAAGTATTTCACATGATAATTCTCAAGGGAATTTGTTTTTAACTGATGACTTTCATCAATGGTGTCAGTGAAAGCTTTATTTGTGTAGCTGCCAACAGAAAGGCTGCTTGCACGATGTCAAGTCTGCATCTCCACCTAGTGAGCTGCAGTGAATGACAGTTGTCACAATAAACACTGGTGCCCTGCATTAATTAACTGGTTCCTGCTTTGTGAAACTTGGGCACGCTGTAGTTTTGGATGCTCCTGTTATTGTGAAGCTGCCTTGGATGAAGCTAACTTACACATGGTATTGTCTAATGGCTGGTCCTGACACCTTAAGAGGCTACCTGGAGCAGAGGCTAGACAGAGTTACAGGAATAAAGTAGGTATTTATTTAAAAGCCTTCAAAGGACACACCTTGGGCAGTCCAAGAGCCTGACCAAGGCTACACCCAAGATGGACGACGGATCACGAGTTTTCACACTTTTATAAGTTTTGGTCCATTTTCATATTGGGGTTAATTGTTTAATTACAGCTTCAGGTTATAAAGTCCCATCCTTCCAGACTGCTCTCCTCAATTTGCTGTGGCCTGAAACTGCAACTTGGTTCTCAGGCTGGAAAAGGATTCTTTTGTCTAAGTAAACTGTGAGGAGAACTTGCTAACACTTTATATGAAGTTCAGAGTTACATACTAATGCAGTACAAAATCTGGAAAATATGAAGGCTAAAACTTAAGGCATCAGTCCCAGCCCCACTACATTGCTAGTCTGTGAAAATATATGGTAAATCCTATAATATTTGGTGGGTTTAAGCTTTGAATATTTGATATCACAGGAGAGAGTTTGATGATTTAAATTCTCCTAGTTCTTTTTGAATCTAAAACCCTAAGAACTCTTAATGCCAGAAATTTAAAACCAATTTGGTTTTAAATCAAAAACAAATCAAAGACATCTTAGATGTTTTTGCTTGGATTGTTGTTGGTCAATGTTCTTGCTTATTGGCTATAAAGGAAATTCTTTAGAAGAACCTGAGTTGACCAGTATTGATCAAAAAGGGGAATTCTCCTGGCATGTAGTATATGGCCTAGTAGAAACAGAAATTTTTGCTGCCACTCACCTTCCAGAAGCCCATTCCACTTCAGTCTTACAATTAAAGGAACAGATCAAAGGGCAGATCTTCCTTAGCCATTTAAATATGAGTAGTTAATTTATTTGGAACTTGAGCACTAAAAAGGGGGAACACTTGCCTTTGTGGTCCCAGAAAAAGATGGTTTAAATATTTGTTCTGTTTAAAATAAAAATACTATATGATGGTTTGGTTTATAGTTTCAAGGCCCATTTCTGTTCTCTATAGCCCAAAATATATAAAGAAAAGGTACCTGAAACTTTCCTTCAAAACTGGAAAGAATTACTTCCCTAGAACTGTTCTGAAGTATAAAATACCTGGAAATAATACACCTTTCTCATCAGGTACTTGTTCAGAAGTGGAAACATGGAGCACCCTGGTGATAAACTGTTTAACACTACTGTGGAAGTGCTGCCTGCTAATGTAAGTCTTTCATTTAGAACCATATTTCATTATCAGAATTATATTCAGCATAAAGTGTCATACCCTAGAAAATACTTCTTGAAATGTTATTGTTTTATTTTTTATAGGAAATGCTAAGAAAAGAATTGGTTGATAATGGAAGTAAATTTAACTACCCAGCAACCAAAGATGGATATTTAAAAATAGGTAAATTATTGTTACTTAAAAACCAGTAATTTTGTTCCTACATATCAAATGTTTCTGCTCTTAATGATTTAATTAAGCTTTCCAAGGTGAACTAGTAAGGGAAAGAAACCCATTGCATTACTGCATATTGTAGTGTATGGTGTTTGACCAATGACTCTCCTATTTTGACGCTCCTATCACCAGCGGCAAAAGCCAAGACATCTAATTAGAAGGAGAACTAATTACAGTCCCTAAAGGGTCTGCATGGCAAGGTTTTGGTAGCTGGGCCAGGGGGCTGGGGGGAATCTGCAGGGGTAACTTCAGTGAAAAGCTGCCAGAAGCTTCCCTTTTGTCCAGTGGAGCCAGTGGCAGCCACCTCCAGGACAGACCTATGACTGCCCAAGGCTGAATCCATCAGTGAGGGGATGTGTTATCCATTGTGGGATAACACATTTTAAAAAGGGGGCAGAAAAGCTCTGTGTATCAACAATTGCAGCTGGAGAGAGGAGGGAGAATACATAAGAGAAAAAACTCTGCAGACACCGAGGTCAGTGAAAAGGAGGGGAGGATGCCATTCTGATTCCCCTAAGGAGGAAGGAGCAACAGAGAAACATGCCCATGATCCCAGTTCCCTGTCCCCCTGCATACCTGGGGGAAAGGAGGTAGAGGAAATCAAGAGTAAAGTTTAGTCCAAGAAGAAGAGAGGGCTGGGGGAAGGTGTTCTTAAGATTTGGTTTTATTTCTCATTACCCTACTCTGATATGAATAATTTTTTTTTTTTCCCAAGTCAAGTCTGGCTTGCCCATGACAGTAATTTGTGACTGATTGATCTCTCCTTGTCCTTCTTTCAACCCACAAGTCTTTTCCAAAACATTTTTTTCCCTAACATACTCCTGGATTTAATTTATAGTTTGTAATTAAGAAATTTTTCACAAAGTTTGCTTGGAAGTGCTTTCATTCTAATAAATGTCCATATGGGTCTTGTGGGTTTCTTAAGGGGCATTTGAAAATGGCACTGCAGAAGGCAGCATCAATCAGGCAATAGGAAGAATAAAGGCTATTCGTTTGTCAGTCAGCTCTGATTCTCCAGTCTGGGCAATACTGAGTGAGGTAAGCATGCCAATAGAAGCATTTTTATTATTCATTATTAAACAACTGTATACTATTGGTAATCATTTGTCTGATTTCATTTTGAATAGAATTTTGTGTGGAAAAACACAAGTGAAGAATGATGTTAATTATTTTCAGGAGAGAAATTAAACGTACTTCATTGAAAGTGCTGTAAATGCTCAAATGGGATGATTCTCCAGTTTTGCAGGGCTGTCACTGTAATTGCTAGGACTTGGGTTGTTGGGACAAACAAAGCTCTTTTCAGTCACCATCTTCGATATTAATTACATTATATCAACATTTTCAGATGAGCCTCTGATTTTTTAGTTCTTCCAAGTTTTTCCCAAGTGTTTAAATGTCAGTAAGTCATAAATAGAAATTCTCAGCAGAAGTCACTGAAGAGCATTACTACAGGCTTAAACCCTAGCCATAGCTGGAAGAAGGGAAAAAATTAATGTCGTAGGCCAAGCTCCTGCAGATTTTAGAAAATAATAGACTTTGTTTTTTTCCAGGTACTTATCAAGACATCTGAAAACTGAAAAATATACCTTTTTGACGTGTCACTTGTTACATATTTCTTGAAAACAAGGCTGACTAAAACAAAGCAAAACAAACAAAACAAAACAAAAATACTGGGTCAAAAGATCAATTTCATACCCATTTAGTTATTAATACTATGTATTAGGAAAGAGTTGAGATAAATCTTATATTTTTATATGACAAGGTATATGAAAAGAATGTTAGTAATTTCTAGAAAATGTTCTTGTCTAACATGTCATATATAAAAATCTCACCTTAGTTTGGCAACATTAAATAGATATTATTGAAAACAATTGATAAGGCATTACAGCCTGCCTCAGGGACTAAAACATAAAGAAGAAGTTTCACCAGAATTAAAAATAACAGACATTTTTGAAAAATATTAAGGACACAGTGTTCAACTCCATTAAAAACACTGGTCAATTTTGCAGGGAAATCAGAACTGAAGGAAAAGTTGTCAATATTCATTGCAAGTATTTAAAGCAGTTCAAAGGAACAACTTAATGTTATGAAAATTGATCTCAATATAAATGTGTTTCAGCCTTAATGTAGCATAAGTTATGTTAAATATTTTTTAAAATGAAAATTGCCTACAAATTATCATTTGAATAACTTGAAACTTAAATAGGTTTTTTTTTTTGGAAGATTGTAAAACTTCTCAGTGAATTGTGCATTGAATTAATTGTAGGAAAGAAGAGTATTATGTGTAACTATATTTTTGTAAAAAGAAAATCTATTTAAATAAAATTTTGGATCCTGGAATTAGATAATCAGCGTGTACTGATATTTCAATCCTTGTCACAAGTTCAAATTCAACATAAATTTGAAAATAAAGAGTAAACCACAGTAGTCTCATTTGAAAAGTTTTTGGGAAATGACAATCTACAATCTACCTTGGACATCTACCTGTTAATGGTAAGAATTCCAGAATCACTTCCTTAGCACATGAAGCACGACTGCACCCTCATCCCCCTACAGAGGCATTGCATCCTGAAAGTAGGAAATAAACTGCAATATGTGAATTTGTATTGAATGGGTTACATTAATGTAGAGTTGTATTCCTAACGCCACAGTGGTTTTCCTTTAGAATGAGATGGAATTATTTTTTTACATCAAAACAGTTCAGAAGAGTGTTTTTTTCAAAGACAACCTCTATTAATATTTTGATAATATTGCTTAGAAGCTTATTGTTTATTTTTTTTACTTTATTTATTTAGACTTTTATGTACAGGATTGTTTATATACTGTGGTGCCATATATATGTGCATGTAGATGTATGTACATACATATATTAGAAAAAATATTGCAGCCTTCATTAGATTAGGTGTTTAATGCCAGTTAAGAATTAGTGCAGCAATCCAACATGCTTACAGGTATACTGGGGGACACCTTTGTTCCTCAGCACTTGTAGTGAAAACATAAAACCTTATTTTGCCATTGCTTTCTCTGCAACAGATTCACTGTTGGGAGTAGTGTCTGCACTCAGGGTGCCTTACATTTACTTGTTACAGGGCAGTGTCACTAAGGAGGAAATTCCATAGCAATTATTTAAATCAGTGAAAACATAGAATATACTAAAATAATAATTTTTTTTTAACGAAAACATCTCATTTTTACAGTGAAATGAGATTTCTCTCTAGTTCTTGAAGCGTACTTTTAAGCTCATCAGAATACTTGAAATTGTATTAGGAAATGACTGCACTTTAAAAAAAAAATAATTAAGATTTTTTTAACGAAAACATCTCATTTTCATAGTGAAATGAGAGTTTTCTCTAGTTCTTGAAGCGTACTTTTAAGCTCATCAGAATACTTGAAATTGTATTAGGAAATGACTGCACTTTAAAAAAAAAATAATTAAATGAAATTTTCCATTCTGTGCTTCCAGCTTGGTGTTTCATTCCTTGTTTCTGTTTTTACATATTTTACATGACCGTAAATCAGAGAATACCCTTCTCATCACTCTGATGTAAATGAGGTTTTGTCTGATGTTGCAAATAATTAATGCTTCACAAGAACCATTAATTCTTCCCCGTGCTTTCACAAGAGCAGAGGTTTCTTGCACAGTCTGCAGAACCACAGCTCCACTATAAAATCAAAGGAACTTCCTAAGAGGAATTCTGGATTTTCACTGAAGAAGCAATAGAGGAAAAGCAAGCATTCCAGCCCCAGGAAGTTTATGACAAGGGAGTGCAGTGGAAGAATACTTCAGCAACAGCTGAGTGCTGTGTGCTATTGGCAACAGCCACCACAGCTTCCTCTCCACCTCGCAAGCAAGGTCTTACCTCTGGTTTTCCATGTCATAATCTGGGCACTGAACCTTCACACTCCATGGCTCCGAGGCCAGATCAAAGGCTGAGTAGAAGCCTTCCCATAGGAAGGCTTCAGTTCAGGTCCAGGGAATAAAGAACTTCCTCTGACTTTATGAGTGACAGCTTTTGAAGTCTAGGCATTGTGATTGTTCACTTACAAAACCAAAGGTGGTAAACTGTAGGTTAAAAAGATAACTCTGAAAAGAGTTTCACATTACAAACCAGATCACCAGGCTCACTGAGTGGGGAATTTTACTGCAGTAATTTCATGTGGTTTAAAACATAAGTCTCAAAAATGAAGTCTACCTCAGGCTCATTGTACTAAATGATGTTAAAATGTCTGTGTGTTAAGAAACCACAATTTTCAAGCTAGTTCTGTTACCAAAATCCTCTGAAACATCGGAAAAAATAAGACTCCCTCAACACTCACCTTTTTATTGTTAGGGAGTAAGGCATTACTTTATTCTTGGCCAAGAGGTGTGTGCAGCTGACAGTTCTAGCTTCCGTGCTGGGACAGATACAAAACTTCCTCACTTATTTATATATTTTTAGCAAAGAAGGGAATTAATGCTCATTGGTTCCAAGTTACATAATTCTCCTCATTCATTAGTATTCTATCCTCTATTGGTTTCATGCTCTTCATGCCAATTTGGTCCCTATTTTTTTAGTCCTTTTATCATCTTTTTCTCAGATGGTAAGCCCCCAAATTTTCAGGCATTAATGCTCTCTCTGCTTTCTGGTTACTTCAATATCCTTGAAAGGCCACAAATTTAAGATTCCAGTTTTCCAATCTTTAGTTCCCTTTGGCTCTCTGTATTGATTTAAGGATCACAGTAAGAGTCTGTGAAGAAAACTAGTGCTGGCTAAAACCAGGCATTGCTTACAGTTAATGAAAAATCTTTTTCTCAGATGATAAGTCCTCAAATTTTCAGGCATTAATGCTCTCTCTGCTTTCTGGTTACTTCAATATCCTTGAAGGGCCACAAATTTAAGATCCCAGTTGTCCAATCTCTAGTTCCCTTTGGCTCTCTGTCAGGTTAGTTTTAGCAAACTTAAGATTTCACTGATTTAAGGATCACAGTTAGAGTCTGTGAAGAAAACTAGTGCTGGCTAAAACCAGGCATTGCTTACAGTTAATGAAAACAACTAATTAAAAATCAGTTAAGAAACATACGACCTTCAACAGTTCAATATCAATAACGTTTTATTCAAACAATTTTGATTTTCACTGAAGCACAGTTATTAAATTCCCTGAATGATGTGTCTCCATTCTCGCCTTAAATCTTTTTAGAGACTTTTGCAAGGGGTACGCCAATATTTGTCTTCAGTAAAAGAGGCAGATACGAACTTGGCTTTAGTAACTGATTAAAAATGTCTTTATTTCGCACTGCATCGCGACACGTATGTTCAAGCGTAAGGGTGAGTGTCCAGCTGTAACTAAGTGTTTCGTTAATTCGAGGGTACAGGCTGGAAAATTCTTTATCCCGGCGGCTCCCCGGGCTGCAAGCGTGTGGGGAGCGGTGCCGTCCCGCGGGCCGCGGCCATACCAACAAACCCCCCTCCGCCGCGCCCAATGCTGATTGGCTGAGGGGCCCCGCGCTGGGCGGGCCGGCAGCCGCAATCGAGCCGCTCATTGGCTCTCGCCTCAGCTCGGCCGCCTCCGATTGGCGCAGCTCGCTGCCCATCTCCCGCGCCCCCACACGCTCGGCGGCGGCTCCGCTCGGCACGAGCCTGCGGCACCTGCTCCCGCACCTGCTCCCGCATCCCCGGGAACGGCGGGGGCGCCGTGCGCCTGCGCGGCCGGGGATGCGCCGGGACGAGCGGCCGGGCCCGGCTCCGGCTCCGGTAACCGCCCGCCGCGGGCCGGGCAGCGCCGGGACCGCCGCCGGCAAACGGCCGCCGTGGGAGGAGCGGCGTCGCGGTGCTTGGTAACCAGGCCGGGAGGAGCGGTGGCCCCGCCGCGCCGGCGGGAGGTGCGTGTGGATGCCGTGTGGGGATGGGAGCGGGTGGTGGCTGCCCCGCTCCGGCTCGCTCTCCTCGGTGCCGGGGGTGCCGTGGGAGCCGGGTGACGGCGGCGCAGGGCAGGGTGCGGGCCCTCAGCCGCTTGCCCGGGGCGGGCGGGAGAAGAGCGGCGTCGCGGCCTTCGCTCTCCCTCCGAGGTTCCCAAAAAGCAGGTTTGTGTCGGGTGCTGACAGAACACCGCACGGCCGCCTGACCCGAAGGTCTGGGGTTTTTTTGTTTTTTTTTTTTTTAATTGGGAAATAAGGTCTTGTTGAAGGTTTTAGTCGAGCTCGCTGTAGCAGCAAAATATCTGGAGGCACCTGCGGGGGTGCGGCGTTGCTGAACTTCACATTCGGCATCCATTCCAGCGCAGGGTGCTTAGCATCTCAGGTAAAGGAAGGGAGGTACAGTTTTCACAGCCAGTAAGGGAAAAAATTCAAGTTGTGCGGGCATTCTTGCATGCGTTTCATGAAGCGGTTACAGCTGAATGTTGTCTTATGTCAGGTTGATGCCAGTGTAGCAGAATGGGGGAGGAATAAAGCAGCTCGTGGTTACGGATGGAATAAGGGGTCTGTGAAAAAATCCTCCACTTTTCATGGCCCTGGATGTAATTGGTGTTTGGCCCTATGAAAAGTCCATGTGTTTATGCTGGATGCAGGAGCTTTGGACTTCAGAGTGAGAGATTACCTTTCTGCTTGAGACTCCAGAACTCTGAGAGTTACGTGGAAAAGGCATGTTTTCAAAGTCCAGAAAAAAGTTAGTAATCTAAAAGATCCTGGCCTCTGCAGCAGATGGAATAGTGATGATGCTAACTTAACGGCATGTACGCAGTACACAAAAGACCATGGCACAGAGGTACAAAGGTGGATGCATTTGCACCATGCATCCCAAATCAAATCATTCAGGTGGGGAGGGACACCAGGACGTCTCTCCTGACCTGCTGTTCACAACAGGTGCAGTCCTGAGGCTGGTCCAGTTTGCTTAGAGATTTTTTTCTGGACTGTCTTGGAAAACCCCAAGGACTGAGACTAAACAGCCTGTACCGCTGCTTACCTGTCCTCGTGGGGAAAAACATTCCAATATCCAGTCAGAATATGTTTTCAGCTTATGGTGTTGTCTTTTATAAACACTAGTCTGTGTCTCAGAAAAAGCAGCTTGTTACTTTAGGTGCAATATTCTGCTGGTGTTGCAGCACTGTTGGTGGTCCCTAGAGCATGCTTTGCAATAATACTGCTGGCTTAAATGTGCTGCTGATGTGTGGCTGTGCTGTGGTTGCCCATGGCAAAAAGTGACCAAGCTATGGAAAATGCATGTTTAAAATTACAGGTCTGAACTTAGATACATTGACAAGACTGCTGGTAAATATGTTTGGTGTTTTGTGAGAGCCATAGACCTTCCCAGTTTGCTTTGTTTTGCTAAGGAAATTATAACAGGGA